CCAGATGTCCAAGTGGTGAAAAGACTCTGTAATTGTAATCTAATACAACCTTCACAGAACCTATCAGAGTATCTTGTTAATTTACACTTGTTACATTCTTTTGGTTTGCCCAATTTATATGTTGCATTATGTAATTCAAACTCATAAATAAACCTTTCTTTACAATATTCTTTTTCATTTTTAGAAAGCTCCTTGTTTTTGACCAATGAAAAAAAATAATCTTTTCTACTTTCTTTATCAGAATTAACATCGGCGTCATTAAACATTTCATTATAAATTTTATATACAAAATCCTTTCTTTCTGATGATAACGATGATAATAGTTTAGTATGCGACATTATATAAAAATTTAAAATATAAAATTTGACTCGGTGTTTTAATTAGAGTGGAGATTTTTTTTTGAGAATAATAATAAGTTAATATTAAATATAAAAGAAATGTTTCCGTGTTATGGTAGGTTTTATTTTTTATTTTTTTCCTAATTAACAAACAATTTTACCCAAATTTGAAATGTTTGGTTGCACGGGAAATATTCTGTTGTAAAGAAGATTTGAAACGGTGCAGTTACGGATGAGTTTTTTTGCTGCGCTGGCTTGAAATTAATTTGTTAAAATTGAAATTTGAACAAAAATATTTTCGTTTTCCGAAAATGATAAATGGTTGTAGTTATTTTTACATCGCGAACTCCCATTGCTATCTATTTGGCAACCGAAAAATTTTTAGAAGGGGAATTTATATTAATACTGTGCAATATGTTACATAGGAAACGCGTGATAAATAAGCAACTAGTCACTTAGCACCTAGTAACTGACGTCATTTACATGACTCAAAATACTGAACAAACTTTGATTTAAATTATCAATGTCACCTTTGGTGACATTGATAATTCAAACTCAGAATTTGCCTAGTATTAAAGTTACTAGGCACGAAGTGCCTAGTAACTATTACTTATTAAATTTTTTGCTCAACGCAACGAATAAAATAAAAATATTGATTTAATAATAACATGACTGCTCCGAACGAATATAATATATCGATATCTTGCATTTGTAATGTGTAAAGCCAAATCATACATAGAATGACATTTCGGCACTACATTCCTCGACCCTCTGTGGGCGAAACTATTTCGGATTTGCTAAATAATGCGGAGTTAATAATAAGAAAATTAATCAATAACCCGAATCGTTTTTCAATTGTAGGCCTACTTAATTATAAATCTAGTTCCAGTAGGTGAGAGTAAAAGTGAGAGTAAAAACTAAATTTATTTACTATCTATTGAAGTATTTAAAGCATTGTAATTTAGTAAATTATCATCATAATTATCATATATCTGCTTTAGGGTTATTTAATCTATCATTATTATTATGTTTAAAAATTATGATAGTTTATTGAAAGGATTTATAATGGTTCTTTGATATTAATTGTATTATATTATAAACTAATAATACTGTAGATATCTATTTCTTACATCTTTTGGATCTAATGTTATTTTTTTATTAAACGCATATGCAGTATTTTTTACTGATGAACTATTGCTTGCTATCTACTCATTGAATTAGCATTTCGATGTGGCCTCATTATTCTTCAGATGTTATATCCTCATCTGGTGATTTTGATTCAGTTGATTTGAATTCTATTTTTTGAGGCTTATCGGCCAAAAGATTACTGTATAATTCTAACCATTGTTCTTCATTTCCTGGATCGTTTACATCATTTTTTATTTGAATAGTCATTATTCTATTATGTGGTTCATCATTTGGATATTATTTCATTATTAATTTGGCTTTCGTAATTGTTTCATGGATGATTTCTATCAAGATGCATTCTCAATCCTTGATTTTTTGGAAATGCATGTACGTGACGTTCACAATTATGTACTGATTTTTTTAGTTGGTATAATAAGGTGTACAACTTGTAAATAATAATTAATATTTATTCAATTGTACATTTTAGTTTTATAAAATGGCAAAATATAGATGTACTTATCTACGCAATGATGTAATAAACCATATTGTCACATTGAAGGCTGTCATGAACATTGGTTATCAAAAACTCGTTTACCATGCCCTATAAAAAATTTTGTCAGAAAATGTACGGAATGTATTTTCAGGACATTATTATTATTATAATTCCGTACATATTCCATGCAAAATGTACGAAAAAATTTTTATTGGGAATATATATACCAAATGTCTCTCAAGCAAATAAACAAGTAAATGAATGGAATTTTTTTATGCAATTTGTTCGTTACCTTTATCTTTGTTTCTTAATTTCTCTCTCCATTTCACCACTCCGTTCTCCCACCTATTCTTATTTTCCTCTAGCCCTCTCTTTTCATTCTCTAATTCCTTCAACCCATCTTTAATATTTATCTTCCCTTCATTTTTACACTTCCCTTCCCTCAGCTTACTCTTCAACTCTTTCAACCTGTTCACATTCCCTTCGTCCCTAAATTCTTTTAACTCCTTCTCGGCTTCTTTTAATTTCTCATTTGCATTGTTTAATTGCTGTCTTATTTCTTCAATTGTTGTCATTTTTTACGGTAAAAAAAATTGATTGATTAATTAATTGTTAATTTGGACCAATAGTAAACGAGTTACATGACTTGGGAGGGATCCAAAGCCATTGCGAGTATTATCTATTCTTTGGGCACTCTGACAAAAATCTAACCTTCACTATTATTACTACTGCTATTCTTTTTATCATAATCGATAATAATGTTGTTGTTTTCATTGACCTCTTCTTCACCTTCTACTTTTATCGTTTTCCTTCTAGGCTCATTTTTTCGTTGGTGCAACACTTTTCTCTTTTCATGAACTTCAAGAGCCATTTTATTAAAAGAAAAATATGGATTCAGTTTGATCTTTTTTATCAACTTCAAAAGAGTATTTTTTATCACTAGTTGATTTATTTTTGATTTTGGTAAAGAAGGTTTGGTTTTAGTTGGTATATCCTTGCTTACTTATTTCGTTGTAATAAATTAGAATTCTTTTTTTTTTTTCTTTATTTTTGCTTAGTTGTCAAACTTAAGGTTGCTTTTAATGACGGCTCAAACTCTGCCAAAACTCTAATAAACAATTAGTGTGGCCTGACGATTGATTTTTGGCAACCATAAGTATTTTGCATAGAACCGGTTGATCAAATATCTTTTTATAATTCTTCGATTTTCTCTTCAATATAGACTTAAACTTATTCCTATTTTTTTTTATTTTTTTTTTTTTGAGGCGATTCTTTGCTCAAATTTTCTATTGAATTTGTTGCTATAGTACCTAATTCAGGACTTTCCTCGATTTTTAAAGAATACGAAAAACCATCAATGTAATCATGAAAGTTTTTCCTCTGGGAATAATTTTTTTTTTGTCTCGCGAAACTTTTGAAATTCAGTAAAAAATTCTTTAAGGTTTTACAATTAATATCCTTTACTTTTGTTTTCATATAATAAGTTTTGGCAATGACAAATGATTAAAGAGATAATTCAAAATTGCCATTTTCAAAAGATACAAGAAATAACGTATGAAGTTATGACAATCAATGTTAATATTATTATTATGGTTTCGGAATTTGTTGAAACTTCAGTGGGGTGTAACGTTACATGACGAAATTTTAACACTGGTTGTCATAACCATCATAAATTATAAATATTCTATTACTATTATGTTCTATAAATACTACAATGAATAAATAAATTGATTGGATGATAATAATTAATTAATAATTGTAATAAAATAATAGAATATTTCAAAGTAGCCTTTGTGTGTCTAAAAAATTGTATGAATGGTTTTGATTGGATTAATAATCAAAATTATCATCATTAAAAAATGATTTTGTTTTTTGTTTTTTTTTCACTCTTCAATACCTAAAAAAGTCTACGCTTATAATATCTTTTCTTCGAAAATTCTAAATATACCATCATTATCATGAAAGTCATTATGTACAATATTAATCAGGTACCAATTTTCCATTATTTCTGTAATCAATTGAGAAGAAATAGTATCCTTGTCATATATTTTTGCCCATTCACTCCAAAGTTCAAAAGCTTCATCCTATAAAATCGTAATTTAATAATTATTATACATAAAGATGTATTATAATAAATATTTATAATGATAGTTAGTTACCTTCCAAGCCATAAAGCTCATATACTCTACAACTGTTGGCTGAATGATTTCTTTTCCAGGGAATACACCCCAAGTGACAGCATTAGGTCCATCACTTTGTGTATTAGTTTTCAAATCACCCTAATAAAATAAGCAATTTAATGATTTTAATATTTAAAAAAAAAATTATAATGACAATAAATATATAAATAATATACCTGTTTGTTAACTGCATGATATGTAATATTTGGATCTTTTTCAATTTTAAGAATAAGAGAATCAAGTTTTAGAGGAGAAACAAAAATTTCCAAATATGCCTTTTTTAATATAATTAATTATCATCATTATAAATTAATAATCATCATCATTTATATCTAATTTTTTTTACTTTTTGTTTTCTTGATCAAAACAATATGTAATATATATACCTTTTGATATACATAACCATTCTTTGGGCCCCAACCAAATACTTTATTATCACTTCTGACACCATTAACAGCAGGCTGAGAATTAATGGATAAATACCCCATAGAATTAATCTTGGCTAGACGATCCTTTATTATATCAGTTTCTTGTGCAAGTGATTGATCAGACCATGGCAGTGAACTGATTTTACCATTACAATATTGAACAAATAAGTTATAAATGTCATCCAATGTTTGTGGATGTCCCCATAATTTAAGTGCTTCTTTATCCTAATTTATGAAAATATGATTGATTTATGAATTCGAAAAATTTTTTTTTGTATATATGATATTAAAATAATTTCAGATTTATTTACATACGGAATGTTTGAGTGATATACCATAGCCATCGATTTCTCCGAAAGCTTTTATTTAAAATTTACATTTTAATATTAGCAAATAGATTTTTTGAGATAAATGACAAAGTTCTAATTTTTTTTTTTAAAAAAAAAAGCATAAATACCTGGTGATCTTGAATCACCCCATCTACCATTTGGATATTCATCCCATGCTTCAGTACGTGCAATATAACTTTTTGAACGATTTCCCCAGAATATTGGACGAACACTTTCATTCTTACGTTTTGCTGAAAAAGACTGATAATATAAAAATAATTTTATATAAAAATTATATATATATATATATGTATATGAGATAACATTAATAAACTTATTAATTAGATAATCATTTACCATAGACCATGGTAATGGTTTGGCTTTTTCTATAGCAATAAATTCAAGAGCTTCCAAAATCAAACGTGTGGATCTTTCCAAATTCATTGTGTAAAAATGGTATCCTTTAATACCAGCAGCATACATCTTCTTAACCATTCGAATGGTCAGTTCAATTCCATATTTTTTGACAGCATCATCATCATGTTTGATAGGTTCCAAATCATCAAGTACATTCTGAGGAACAAAGGTTTTACAAAGTGTTATGATTCTATTAAATCCCGAATAATTCTGTATTGGCAAAAGACCGGGAATTATGGGACATTTGATACCAATAGCACGACATTTTTCAACCCATTCTAAAAATACATCTACATCATAAAATAATTGTGTGACGATAAAATCTGCACCAGCATCCACTTTCTTTTTGAGTTGACGTAAATCATCATCTTTATCAGGATTGTCAACATGGCCCTCACAATATCCAGCTACACCAATTCCAAAATAATCATTGTATTGTTCACGGATGTAACGAACCAAGTCAATTGCATATGTAAAACCACCCTCTACTGCTTCCCAACGTTCTTGACCATGAGGTGGGTCGCCACGCAAAGCAAGAATATTTTGACATCCACACTCTTTAGCTTGCTAATTAATATTATGATTATAAAATAATGACCATGCATAAGTAACAATTCTTTGTAAAATAAAACATATTAATTGAGTGTACCTTAAGAGCTATATCTATCTTTTCTTTAGGCATATTTGTACAAGTAAGATGCATCATTGTTTCCAAGCCATAAACTGATTGTGCGGTTGCCACAATTTCAGAAGTGAGTTGGGAAGAAGTACCTCCAGCATTCCATGTGACATCAATAAATTCAGGACCTAAATAATACATTCTTTCCATACGATCATAAAGATTTTGTACTCCCTATCAAATTTAAAAGATAAATTAAGGCAATTATCAAAAATAATGGTTATTTTCTTTCTCTTTGATAAATTTTCTTGGCAAATAAGGTTTGAAAATTTTTTATTATCGAGATAAGTGTATGCTAATTTTTTACCTGTTGAGTTTTTGGAGGAAAATATTCGAATGACCAGTATGGTCTATTTTCTTCCATTGCCTTTTGTACTTTATTGATGATTTTCATTTTATAGTTATTTTGTGAAAATAATTGTTTAGATAACGTAAATTTATGTAATATATAGTGAAAAAAAAAAATATTAATATCTGTCGCACGCAGATCGATCGTTGATGTTACTAATTCGAAATGATCATCATTATCTTGTTATTATCATCATTGTTGTTATTGCTGTTAATGTTGTCGTTTATGAAAGATAAAGCCCCAAACAATTATAACAATATATTTACGTGTATTCTAAGAATTTTAATACGATTAGTTAGTATACATATAAATGTGTTCGAATCGAATCGAACCAAATCGAGTCAAATCAATGATTAATTTATTTATGGTATATAGTAATAGTGATTCATACCCGAAACGAATCAAAAAATTAAGTAAATATCTGAATGTGCTAAAAACTTGACAAGAAAAAATTCTATGAAAAATTGTGAAACAAAAAATTCGGATAAAATTCAAAAGTAATCATTTTGAGGAATTAAGAAAATGTAAATCTTTCCTTCAAATCGCAGCTTGTCGAAAAACTGGCGAAGGAACAGATGTAAAAGGTCTTTTACGTTGTATATACTCATTATAGAGCGTTTATTATCGTTCAAAAAAGTTCTCATAAACGTTTTTATCAAGGAAGAAGCATGGCATTCTTGTAACGAAGAGCAGGATTATCGAATGAACTTTTATCAGGTATACATGACAGGGATTTAGGTGATTATGAGAGAAATGCTTGGTTAAATCAACCCGAAGCATTCAGTTTGTTTTATTTCACAAGATAAAACGAACGAATCTCTAATAGCCCGTCATTTCTTGTAAAGTAGTTTTATGTTACCAAAAGAACATTGGGTAAAACTTATCAAAACATTGATAGAATGACAAATGTTTCAAATAAACCGATCTTTTAGTGCTTTGTATTCAAGCAGGCCTTTTTCCAATGCACTTTTCAACTCTTCAAGACGTTCTGTGAGGCTCATTTGGAAAGTATGAAATTGAAAATTGCTAAATTACTCAACTGTCGTCCCTATCGCTGGGGTTCCAAAGATCACTCACTCACTTGTGTGTAAACCCATCACGATTAAAAATTGCTTGCTTAAAAATATTTGATAATTTGTAATTTAATAACATTGTCATAAAATCAATATACATGTTAGGTCAATAATAATAGTCATTTAAAATAAAGGAACTGAGAAATGTTTCGATTCAATTTCAATTGTTTATTTGTTCTCCTCTGCCTTTTCAAGCAAGGACTTGAACAAAGTTGTCTATTCAATTGTCAATTTTCCAAAGTCGGATAGTAAAACCAAATAACTAAATTAGATTGTAAAATTTAATTAGCTATGTCTTCTCATAAATTTGCATAGATTAAACTTTGATTTTGTATTTACTTATTTTTCTTAGTCAAGTAGAAGAACCAACAGTAGACACGAAGAATAACTATCTAATGTTAATAATAATAGTAATTATCAATTAACGAACACTTTCATCGATTCTCCCAATATTGACGATAAAGCTGGTGTCTGTGAATATCATATTTAATATTTTAGATCTTAAATTAATATATAATAATACTAAGAATAAATATTTATTAATGTTAAATTTATATATTTGTTTTTTTGGATCAATGAGTTTTATTATTTTTGGTGATCTAATAACAAGAAGAAAGTGTCAGATTTGTCAGATAATTTCAAAGAATTCAAAATAACCCATAAAATCAATAATCTGATCTTGATATGTTAAAGACAAAAGAAATAACACAAATGCTATACGAAGTATCAACCATGTCAGATATAAATGATAGTAAAGCTTTTTTAAATAAATATTGTTATAAAGAGTCATATACAAGATTTGAAGAAAAAACAATTCAAGATTTTTTAGAATAATCAAAGCCAAGACCTTTCATACATTTTTTTAATAGTTCCTCGTTAGTAAATTGTAGATTTTTGGATCTAATCTTACTTAATTTGGTAGGTTATAGAAACAGGATAATCGATTCTAGATTTAATCGAAAAAATCAAGTGTATGAGGGAGAAATAAATAAATTAATAAATGAGCAAATAATATAATAATAGTAATAGCAGTAGTAATAACCATAATAATAATAGTAATAGCAGTAGTAATAACCATAATAATAATAGCAATAGTAATAAATAGTAATATTTGAAACAATTTTAATTTTAGAAGTCAAAATCCATACATAATATACATATATTAATGTACATACAGTATTTCATAAGTACAATAATAGCAGCACTAATAACAGCAATAATAATCAATAAATAATAATAGTAATATTTAATTTTAATTTTACAAATACACACACCAATATATATATTAATATAATTAATAATAATAATTAACTCATTGTAAACATAATAGTAATATTAAATACTATTATTATTATCATTAATATCATTCACGTCTTCATATCTAAACCCACCATCACCACAACAATCTGCTCCTTATCTTCATCTACATACTATCATTGCCTCCCTCATCTATATTCACTGCTTAATGAACCATTAAAATGGTGGTATGGTAATAAAAAAATTCCCAATACTTACTATTTTAGTCAAGAAATATTTGAGAATTCCTTCTTCATCAGTTCCTTCAGAAATACTTTTCTCTGATGTGGAAAAGCAAATTACTTTATTACTAAACAGACTTGGCTCACAATCTGTTGATCATGTTCTTTTCTTGAAACAAACAAAAAATTTGTTAATAATTTTTTACCCGTCACAGAATAATAATAAAAAAAATTTTATATTGTAGATTTATTGAGGTGACGTCCAATCATGTTTGTACATGTGACCTAGCATAGCTTCTTTCGTTTTATTAATATGTAGAAATTCAACTCATAAGTGTAAAACAATCAAAAACTACTACTACTTGTAATGTAAAAATCAATTTTGATGTAGGATAAACTGAGCAGAAACTTTCCTACAGTGCGGATCATCTATACTCAAGTTAAAAAATTTTGGAATATCATGTGATCCACATGTTGGGTTTTAAAAAATCATCATTCAATCCAGCTTTAAAAAGAAAGTCGATTTATGCAAAAAAAATTTTTTGTCTCGTGGAATTTTAAATTGCGATAGAATTATTTACTATTAATAAAAAAAAAAATCTTTAATGTATAAACTAGTCAGTAGAATGATAATTAACCCTAAAAAATTTTATTTACTCCGCTAAAAAACTATTTACTATTAAACAGCCCGTCAAACCCATGGGGTTTTGCTGGTATAAAGTATTTATAACACAACGTACTGAATTTTGGAGCTCAAACAAAATCAGCGCATATGTGTGTCGTTTTTTTTCTTTTTTTGCTGCGCTGGCTTAAAATGAGTTAAAATTGAAAATTGAACAGAAATATTTCGTTTTCCAAAAGTGATAAATGTTTATGTTTATTTTTACATCGCCGTATCATGCGAATCCCTATTGCTATCTATTTTAATTTGTCATGTTTCGTGCAACAGAAAAATTTATCTATTTTTGTTCAAAACGTCAGGGTTAAGCGAAGCAGACACTTGACTGAAAGGAGTCGTGTTTCGCAGTAAATGTTTTTTGCGCGGTGTCTATCGTTAGGTTTTCGTCTTGCTCTGATGTTTTGAACCATCCAAATGACCAAAAACTAACGGCCTTGTCTTGGATCCTTTACCTCAGACTTGTCACAACGTGTTAGTATTAGTATTAGTATTAACATTTTTCCGGTCACGAGACCGGGATTAAAAAGCACCTTTTCACGTTTTATTTTGTTGTCAATTTAATGATCAAAATTGTTCGTGTTGAATTAAAAAAAAAATTATTTATTTTGACCATTTGAGAGATAGTGGAGGATCTAGATAGGAAAAAAAAATTTTTTAATTTCCTTTCGGAGAAAACAATAAAATCCCATTGATTTTTTTATTTAAGAAAAAAACCCTAGTTGCATGAAGATTATTCTTCTATAGCGATAGAATTGAAAACAAACTACTCGATCCAATTGACATTTAATCTGGAATAAATAAATAAACACGAAGAAAAGATCAGGACAAATGATTTTTTTTTTTAGTTAGGAAAAAAAAGTTTGGTTAATTTTAAATTCGTAATAACTTTTGATTTACATGAAGGCTCTTCTTTGCAAAGGAAATTCGTAAATCTTATTCTTCTATAACCTATAAAAATTTTTGTCAGAAAATGTATGGAATTATACTATTACTGTCTTTTTCTAAATTCCGTAATTTTTTTTTGTGTAAATAAAGTTCTGTTTGGTTTTTGGTGCGATCAACGTTTTCACCTTATTAAGCGAATTTTGGGTCGTACGGCAAATATTCTGTTTATTAAAGAGTTCTTTGCAAGTGCCTTGCCATTGCCTTGCCTGTTGTTTGCGATGATATTGCAATGAACTTCTGCTCCCCCAATTTTTTTTTATTCGAAAAAAGGTTCATTATATCAATATTAGTTTAGTCGAATAAAAAATATGTTGATTGTTGATCGTAATAATAAAAATAAGATTTTGATTATTCCAATTGTTTAATTTTTGAGGAATTATTTAAAAATTATTACTTTTTATTATGTAAAATAAAAAAATTACGGGACTGATAAACCTGATTTGCGTCAAACAACAATAATAAAAAATACGTCAAAATCCGAAAAAACGTTTTTTCAATTGTTTACATAGCTGCACAACCAAAATTATTACTTATTATTATTATTATTATTATTATTGGGTAAAAATAAAAAAAAATGTTACATAGTGTTCTGCAGCTGCGCAACTAAAGTTATTTGAATATTATTATCATTTTATTTATAATTATCAAACAAAATCTATTTTTTTAAACAATAAACAATATCTTTTAAATTATGGCTAAAATTTACGACTAATAATTTTTTTTTGATACAGATAATGTTATATGATAACAAGAAGTTACTATTAAAGTATTAAAGCGTGAGTTCATTGGTAAGCTGTTTGAACACGGAATCTGCTATAAATTTTGAAATAAATGGTACACATGCCTCGAAGTGCCAATTCCCATCGCAGA